AGCTGTATAATACCTAGCCTAGGAGTCGGTGAAAGCCTCAGAAAGATTGCAAGGCCTTCTCTAGTTTTAGGCTTTCTATGACGTCAGTTGATGTGATACTCGTAAGGGTCGATTGGTTTAACCCAGGTCTTTGCTCTACTTCGCATACCGCAACTGCCTACTTTCAATTATGAGATGTTTTGAACGATACGTCGCCCATTGAGAACCCGCACAGTGCAATATACAAAAGCTGTGTCATCCGGGATACCAACTAAATCATCCTACTGGGCTTATCAAGGTGGGTCACCGTAATCAAATTCAAAATATTTCGGAAGTAGGAAACCGTTTGATGTCATGCAGCACAGATGTACATTTTGTCTAATAGATGATCATTAGTGAATGAGGCTGTCCCTTCCGGCCAATCTTTCTCCATACGGTGCAAAATAAACATACCAATGAATACTACCTTGTTATTGCAATTAACATTGAAAGAATATGTGGCTAAAGGCTGTCCACACAACTCTCTCATCACGAAGGGAGTAAAAGTATACTCCAAAGTTTTCTGTATCGAAATCTGGCGGAGCAACGCAGAGCGAACTCGTTTAAATTCGGCATCTCAGTCCCTCCTTAATGCAATTGCTTTGATGCAAACGAAAGCCGGAATGTTTCGCATAATTTTCCCAGCAAGACAGCTAAGAAGTGGAAAGCTGTCTACATCGTAGCAAGACGACAAGCCGCAGAGAACGAATACCCAAGATAGTTCTGGCGAATTCGCTTAAATCTGGAGATGATAATGTTCAGAAGAGGACGGCCGAATCCGAATAGCAGCCGGAATCAACCGATGTGAATCCGCTATTAAACGCCAAACAAATGAGGCACGTGTTGCTTTTGCCAACAAATTCAAACCGCATCGACCGTCGTGCCGTTCGGTTTACTTCATTGATTGGTAAATAGGATACCAAGCGGGAAAAGGTCATATATGTATCCATTTTCCAAAGAAGTAACTTTCGTCGGTCACGAGAAATAAGTGCCAGTGCAACCCACAGTTAGGTGGAAGTTCAATACGGAGCATCCCGTCTTTGGGCTCCTGCACGAGATATTTTGATTAGTGTAAAATTGGTTACATTAACGAGGCAGGTTTTCGGTGACTATCGTGTTTGTCACTCATTCATTCCAAAGACAACATTCTTTATCAACGCGAGGTTTGTAGTGGATTTTTTAAACTTCATTATATATTGCCTTCTTATTTTAAAAGTTTCCGGATCGACAAGTTATAAAACCGAATCAGTTGAGTTACCATCTATCATCTGGGTCTGAATGTGATTGGAAACATTTTGTTCATGTTGAAGCTTGAAAATAGTCGTCCGAGTCCAGAGTGTTGCATATACTGGAAGGAACTGATAAATACAATTTGCTGGTCAAGTTTGTGGAGTCTGTGCCAGAACAACCGTTCCTATTACTCAACCATAACCGCGATAATGGCGAAATTCAATTCTCGTCTGAAAACATTGTTTTCCTATCACCAATTTGAATAGGGAAGTCAGAGACATGGGTTTGCACAATATATTCATGGTCATTTCGCTGCATGTGTACCTGTGATTTTTATAGCCTTTGAGATAATAACCGTGAGACGAAAAATAGATCGCTAATCACAAGGGACAACGCGACACACTGACACGAAGAACAAGAGAGGGCAGGGGGTAATCACCAAAGCAAAGCTAATGTAATCAATCATTTACACTTTTTGCGTTCAACGGGTTTGAGAGTATGAATGGCTAAAGCCCTGGTTAATTCCAGTAACTTTGTGATTGTTGTGTAGTAGACGATCTGACTTTGACTGCAGTATGTACGCGTACAGATGGATACGTTGTGCAAACCTGTTTCTATATATATTCAAATTATCATCTATTATCTCCATAAATAAATTCCGAAAACTTCTTGCCGCTGATTTCCGGTTTTCTTACGTGATGGAGCCCCGGTTAATTGGAGTCACGGAAGGACGTGGCAACTAGCCGACAGCAGTGCAAATCTTTTTGTTATTTCTTATCAGATCAGAATGCATGAAAAATGTGAATGCACACTTGAACCTTGTACTCTGTGTTGACCATAAAGGTTCAGTTTCTTTCCCCCTCCCTGACCACCTTACTAACTCCTACCGAAATTGTTTGTATGCAGTGTAAGTTGGGTAGTGCTCCGGGAAGGTCGCTTCGCTGTGCCGCGATGAAATGATACACAATCCAATGTAGAAATTGTCCGCTTAATATTCATGCGGATAATGTAAGCAGGCAGCACTACAGGTATATTGTTTCTGGTGTTCAATAATGGTACAGGTGTCAATGAAACTCGCGCAACATCACTCTCATTTTGAAAATACATTTGGTCACCAATATCATGCTTGTATATCGATGGCTATGGGTAAAGTGTATTTCTGGTTTTATATCTCACATCTATGTTCTCAATTCTCTTCTATCGTCGTTTGAATTAGCGTGACCTTGAGCGTTGCGATAAAGTTTGTATTAGTTCGAAAGTTAGAGCTCAAATTTGGGAGATATTTTAAGCAAAGCAGCATGTGAATGCATTCTCTTCCTTAAATGATTCCTGCTCCATGAGAGTTTTTATTAAGTTGAGCATACATATTCTAATTTGATTATCTATTTTCATTCAGTGCACAGTAAATAAGCAAATTAATGAAAATATTTTAAGCATTGAGTTCCCTTTATCCATTTCATCAAAACAGAAAGAAGACAAATGTCGTGCGATGTTAACATTTCGTTTAATCTTCTGTCGCTGACTTAAAACAAATCGGCACATATATAGCACATCGGATTGATCAATTTTGGTGAACAAACGTGTACAAGCGACTGAGGAGATTAAACGAAATGTTAATATCTCGCGACATTTGTCTTCTTCTGTTTTGATGAAAATATTCTAGCCTAAATAAGTAGATAACTTATTTGGCTATAAACTACTCACGCATTATCCGCAATACTGAATGAACTGAAAACGTAATTTGAGAAACATAAAAGTTGACCTCAGCTAGTTTTCTAATGAATTTCTTTTTATCTGTCAAAAGAAAATATTTATCCTGCCTAAAGAGTTGGAAGGGAAGTGAATATTGAGCGCCTTGTTGTTGGTCTCCTGCACATACCAATATGGGCATATTAAAATTTCTTGCGCTGATACGGGAGGTTTTTGATAATTTTCACTTTTAAAATGCATTCGCGGAAGCCATTTTTCACAGATAAAGGTTGTTATATCTTCTCGCTTGAGGTTGGTAGTAGAAAACGGTTAGACCCAATTAAACATTATTTTTTCACATTTACGCGGTCTTTGGAGGAGTTACGTTCAATGTCAAATTCGCTCAATTACCGCGCAGCGTCTGGTATTTTGATTGAATCGAAACAGAAACACGGATCCGTTAGCTACTTCGACATTGGTCGTCAGCCGTAAGAATGTGTGGCGTATTAGAGGAAACTTGTAAACTCTGTTTGGCAGTCAACTTGGTGGACTCCTTACTAAAGCGACTGTCTCCAATGCCCAAAAATGAAGAACGGCGAATGGAACGTGGACGAGATGAAAGTGCAATACCTGTAAGAGTTCTATGAGTCATTATAATTAATAAATATTTGTTACGTTTTCTACTGTGACTTTGCTATTCTACACCTGATGCACCAGCAACCATCGTCAAAGTCGTAAAAACGTACATTTTAACGGCATGTGGCTAATGGAAGCAAACACGTAAGTGGGTATTTTATCAGATATGTTGCGTCTGATGTGGGGCAATATCACATTCAATTCCGTGAATGAGGCTTGAAAAATGAAGCGTTGAGAGGAGCAAATGTGATGAACATCAGGATGTTGCACGAGTTTGGTCAATACCTGTATGTAGATTCCCGCCAATGGGGCTCGAAGCGTAAGGCATTGGAACCAAGAGATCTGATGAGTCACGGTGTCGCACCAGTTCGATGAATATCCGGCAGCCGCTTGTCGCATTGCATCTTATTTATATCCTGGGTGGTCAACTATGGCTCTGTGCTGGAGCCGAAACAAACTAAAACAAATTTAGACTTGCATGCGAGGTTGCTAGTCAACATAAGCCACTAAAATAAATGGGTCTGCACTTCGCCTTACTCATATTACGGTTAGTTCCTTGTAGGAACTAACGGTATCGGCCGAGAACCCTAGTAGTTATCCGCTGTGGTTGAACTCCCTAGTATTAACCAGTCATTAAACTCAGGTGGATGCACAGCCGAAGATAAATTCCATAGTGAATCGGGACCGCGTTGTCCATTGATTCGAGGGATGTGGGTTAATTCTCCGCGTCTTTCAACTACATATTATTCTTGCAACCCCAATCTATATGAATTCTATATGTTCACTTTGATGTCAACATTCTAAACTTTATTCTGCTCTTTTATCCAAATGGGCGGTTAAAAGACAACCAAAGGCGACGCATGTTCAGTGGTTTTGAAACGTGAACTAAAATTTCGTGTCCTTTAGTGAATACACTCACTTTGTCTATTCCACCGACCCGTAACAATGCCTTAGTCAAGTTGTGCGTTGAGAGCGATCGGTTAAGTTCGCTTCACTGTATTGTGTTGTTCGAGGCGCGAGTTGGGTTGTTGCCTTATACGAGACTATAGGCGTTTTAGCCCGACAGAATGGGTCTGCTTTTGAGGTAGACTACACTAATGCTCGAGCAGAAAGTTGAGACCAGTTATCGCGTGCCGCCGTTGTATGGACTTTGGCTTCATACTCTGTCGGGAGCCAAAATGATTGGGTGACAACAATCGTTCATGTTTCGAGAGAGCACTTATTGTTCAACAGTTAACGTGAAGGATGCAAAATTGAATCTCTACATTCTATTTACTTCGATTCGATTTCCACTGGTCGGTGCGGTCGATGACAGGAATAGATAAAGCATTTTCTTGCTCCTCAAGCAGGTAAAAAAACTGAATGTATAGAAAAAAGCATCTATCCAACAAATTATGGATTGCAAGAAAAGTCAATTCTGTTTTTCTTCACTCCTGTAGTTTGCGTAATAATTCACTTTTATTCACGCCTTGTCGGTTCCGTGCGATTTCCAGGGCCAGAAACTGAATGCGGGGGACTAAAGATAAAATTGTAAAACCGTCAGGGCGCGCTTACCTATACATGTATTATCCTCATTATATCCCTTGGACGCATCAAGGCGAAACAAAGTTGCAAAATTGAAGTCGTCTACTTTGTCCTCGAATTTATTGCAAAAATCTCTCCATTTCTAAAATATCCAACAATTATTCGGAAATAGAACTTAAAATAAAATGAAGGACATGAACTGATTTGTTACTTGCTTTTATTTGAAATAATATAGTAATCTGTTATTTCTCTCAGAAGGAACACCAACCGAAAGATAACCTGAATCGCATTTAAATTGATACAAAATGGCGTGATGAGTAGGCATATCTAAGAGATGGCTATTAATGTTTAGTTTTGCATCGCGAAGAAGGCAAAAAGACTAACAGTTTACATAAATACATCCTATCAAGGTCCTAGAGAATCTAAATAAGAACGGCATTCTACGTTATGACCAAGAAAAATTGTTAGTTTTTGAGACAGGTTTGACCCAGCAACACATATAACAGCAGTTCATATGCCCAGTGCCAAGGGTCTTTTTTCCAATACGCCGTACTTTTTCACTGTAGTTTCTGTAACTGAATCAAACTATTCGAATTTCATCTCCAAACTCCCTCCCAAAACTAGCATTGATTTATGTGCAACCCAAACTTTAAAACAAACACAGTTAGTATTGATAACACGGTGTAGGCGAACATATGTTTTCGGTGAATTCCTTTTCAAGCCTTTACAATCACATTTCTATGAAACAAGTTCGATAAGGTCAAACAAAACAAAACAACACAGTTAGTATTGTAAAAAAACGGTCACTTTTTATTATGCTGCTATGATGCGACTTCAAATGGAAAACGAAATGACGTGTAGTTCGGTAATGACCCCGTGAAGTCCGTTGCCTTTGTTTCATACCTGTGTTCAACCTTTTAAAAACGGAAACAAAAAGAAACGAATCCACCATTGGTTCATAGGAGCGCTAAAGGCAAGTAGCCAAAACCATAGAAGGAATGCCTGATCGAGGTTTTCTGCTAACAAGAATTTATTCCAGTTTTAACAGCCTTTCATCTATGTGCGGTGATTTAGGTAACAATCCATTCGAGTGTGATAGAAGGATGGAAGCAGTACAAAGACGAAGGTACAATTGACTAGATGAAATTGTTTACGACATTCAGTCGTTATTCGGTCTCGTGGTCTCCAACCAAGCGGAAGATGGAGAATTCATATAGACTGGTGTTAAGAGAATAATGAGTATATGTATGAACGCCACTGTTTGCGACACCCAGCCATATCGCTCAGTGTCTCCAACCACCGGTGACCATGGTCTCGGGGTTCCCAGCCACGGAGCCTAACGAGACCTATGTGAGCGACCCAGTCTCATGGTTAGGGTTTTCATACCCTCATGCCAGATCTTCGAGTGACCGCCCTTAACCTTTTTCCAAACGCTACCAGCCTCGGCAAACATCGCTCGCCGTGGTAACCTGTTTGGTGACATGCGTAAAACATGCGGATAGGGCTGTTTCAAGGATCAACCCTATCACGAAATTAAATAGAAACGGAGAGAGGCGGCAACCCTGTCGAACACCTCTTTCTGTGGTGAACTCGGGCGAAAACGTGCCGTAAGCTTGGGCTCAGTTTCGTTTATTAGTATAAAGGGATAGTAATATTGAGATAAACTTCTCGGGCACACCTTTTAGAGCGAGGCAGCACCAGAGTTTGGAGCGGTCGACTGAGTCGAAAGCCGCTTTCAGATCGAGGAAGATAGACATGGTGGGTCTACGAAAGGAATGTCTGTGTTCTAGAATTTAACGAAGGGTGAAGATGTGGTCGATACAACCTCGAGCAGGTCTAAAATCAGTCTGGTTCTCACGTGTGTACTCTTCACGTGCGGGATAGCCAGTCGACGGAGTATAACAACAGCGAGAAGTTTAAAGGCAATGTTGATTAAACCAAATCCTCTGCGGTTTTCACAAGAGGACCTATTGACATTCATCATCATCGTCATTGTAGAGCGTAATACAGTGAAGCGAAATTCGCTGATCGCTGCCAAACTCAATGCATACNAGTCGACGGAGTATAACAACAGCGAGAAGTTTAAAGGCAATGTTGATTAAACCAAATCCTCTGCGGTTTTCACAAGAGGACGTCGTCTTCACTGCACTGCGGCCTTGATCGATGAGTGCTGGTATGGCGAGAAGACGACGAATGGTTTTTATGATTACGATGGTGCATTCTCAGTGGTTATGTTGGCCGGTGGGTTGCCAAACTAACCACTGAGCGAGAGTTCTTGATATCTAAATTTATCTTTGATTAGTTTCTAGTAAACTTCTCCCTAGCAACTTCTAGAGATGGGGTCTAACATAAGGTGGTCCTTAACCAACTAGTCTTGATTACTTGAGGATTCTCACGTACCTCCTAAGGGGTAAATTCGATGCCTTAGAAAGATGGTTGATTTCCCTCGCTAAACCTTGTTGTCTTTCTTATATGTTGAGATAGTACTATCTCGGGTATCCTTTTTAGCAGTTCTGGCACTTTCCGACGTACGTAATTTAGTCCCTCACACTTCAAGAGACGATGAACCCAGCTACCTAGGTTAGTACGCAGTAGGAGTTGTACCAAACGAGAAAGATGGGACCCCACTTACATATTGGATATCCGTCAATAGTAGTTTATGCGCGATGAGGCTAGGTGGTTTAATTACTGTTCGGAAATGATGCAACACAAAAAGATGTTTATCGTCAACTAACTTTAGTCCGAACGCACAAAACGTAGAATTTTACAACTTGACTGAAATCACCGAGATGAGCCCCAGCCATATAATTGTGCTATTGGTGATTTTAACGCTCAACTTGGAAAACAACGCACAGGAACCCTCTCTAGTGGGTTGTTCCGCCCTACCCGCCCGGTGAACAGACAGCAGCGGTCGACTACTTCAGTTCTACGTAAATCACCGGATTCTCCCATCCAGTCCCAACTTTCGACAGCTCTTGACGGATGATAACACGGTGTTCTAGTGCAAGGAGTATATTGACCCAAATTGAACAAAAATGTAAGTGTTCATTGATGAACAAGATGACAGGTCCTACTGGACCATCTGTGTCGTCTGATCACTCATTACTCATAGTACGCTCCCCGCCTCGGTTTGTCAGTCATCGGCAAAACTCGCAACTTCGAAAAAACTCATCATCGTCTGTGTGCCCCAGCTGTTTGCACGCGTTATCACTAAGTATGAGCTAGTGGCAGAGAAAGTCAGTGGGATCAAATCAGACGTACCTTACATTCAGCACCAAACTTAGCTTGTAGGTCTGAGTCCGAAGTTCGTCGAGGACACTTGATACCTCAGGAGTCTGTGGTCCTGATGGAATAAAAGTGCAAGATCGCGTTACTCCAGTATCATGGAATAAATGTCGTCTGCAATTTCCGCTCGGGGCAAAATCTTAGGAAAGATCATTAAATTGGTAGGCTGGCGAAATGGAAGTTGCCACTGCATCAGAGGCAATCAATATTGCCTCTAAACTTCTTGCCGGTATCATACTCCGTCGATTGTCTGCCGAACGTGAACGGTGTACGCGTAAGAACCAGGCCGCTTTCAGACCTGGTCGAGGCTGTATTGACCACATCTTCACACTTCATCAAATTCTAAAACATAGACACTCCTTTCGCAGCCCCACCATTTTTATTTTCCTCAATCTAAAAGCGGCTTTCGACTCAGTCGACCGCTCTAAACTCTCGCGCTGCCTTTCCCTGAAAGGAAGTGCCCGAGAAGTTTATTTCAATATTACAATCCCTCTACAATAATAGCCGAAGCCGAGTTCGAGCATACGGCACTTTTTCACCCGAGTTCACCACGAAAAGTGGTGTTCGACAGGGTTGCCCTCTTTCTCCTTTTGACTTTGTTATAGATCTGATTATGGAAACAGCCCTATCCTCGTGCGAGGATAGTGGCATAGATGTAGGGCACTTTTTCACCCGAGTACACCACGGAAAGTGGTGTTCGACAGGGTTGCCCTCTCTCTCCTTTTCTATTTAACTTTGTCGTATATTTAATTCTTGAAACAGCCCTATCCTCGTGCAAGGATAGCGGCATTGATTTTCTTCCGGGTGGCAGACTGTCTGATCTAGAGTATGCAGACGACATTGTGCTATTAAGTGAAGATCCAGGTAAGTTGCAAGCTTTTCTGGATAGTTTGAGTGCTACGGTGTCCATGTCCGGTATGCGTTTTGCACCTTCAAAGTGTAAAATGCAGCTGCAGTGTAAATGCAGCACCCAGTCTCACCCTAACTGGGGAAGTTGTAGAGGAAGTAGACAAATTTTGCTATCTAGGCAGCTATATCTCACCTGGTGGACGTATCACAGATGAAGTGTCAGTGCGCATACAAAAGGCTCGATTGGCATTTGCCAACTTGAGACATTTGTGGCGCTGTCGCGACATCCGGCTGTCTGTGAAGGGCCGAGTGTATGCTGCTGCAGTTCGGCCAGTCCTGCACTACGGTGCAGAGACTTGGCCACTAAAGGAACAGGATAAAAATTAATTGTCGGTGTTCGAACACCGCTGTCTACGTCGCATTGCACGTGTCTGATGGGGTAACCGGACTAGCAATGCTGAGGTTAGGCGTAGAGTTTTAGGCAGTCGCGGT